CTTGTTTCTGGCCAAAAGTCGACCCGGGCTGCAGCGCGTCTCGAGGAGGTGGACTTGACCCGACCTGAACGCGTGCATTCCGGGAGACCAAGACTCGTAAAGCAGAACCGAGTTCTGAACTCTCCGCTGACAAGTGGAGCCGACAGCCGAGTGGCGAGCGCGTTGGAGAGTGGTGCACAAGAGACCCTCGGCCCAGGGATCGAGTCCTGGTCGGCTAACTTTTTTTGGGAGGGGGGGGGGGGCTGCTGGAAAGGCGGTCAGTCCACCTCCCCATGTCGGCTGGTCTTATGTCCTTACCCTTGGTCCCAACGCCGCAAACTACTAAATAGGAAAAAGTGAGACTCGGTCAGTATTCGAACCGTCAACCTGAGCCAATGAGGCTACTGCAGAGTTGACGCATATAGTGAGACTAGCCTAAGGTCCCACTTTTTGAAGCACGGGCAGCATAGGAGACTGCAGGCGGGAGGGGGAGAGGAAAAGTGTGATCTTAGGCTAGTCTGCCTATATCTCCGCTTCGCTTTGGCTCACACCCCGAAACATATGGCTGGCGGGGGGGGGGGGGGGGGGGGGGGTATGGTTCCGTGGACTAGATTCGAACCTGCGACTGTTTGCGTACCGGTCCATCATATCGGCTGAAAAGTCGTGGCCAGCGGAGCGCAAGAAAGTATCACCGGGACGGGATTCGAACCATCGAGCAGGATCATGCCGGGCCTGGACGCTTCCGACTTAGCCACGAAGAAACTGTATGTAGTGATCTCAGCTCCCTGCGCTATCCAGATCTCAGCTGTTGCTGGCGCCCGAAGACATCTGGCCAGCAGAGCAGGAAATGAAGAAAATGGTTTGACCTTAAAGTGATGGAAGACTACTCTCTGGTGGTACATAGGCCATAGAAAGGAAGAAAAATGAGGCTGCCCATTGATACTTTGAAAACTTTATTTATACATTGGCAAAGTTCATATAAAATCCACTCTTCGTATATATGTCTTAGAGTTTATGGGGTATATACATTATAAAATTAATCAAGCAGAAATACAATTAGTTCTCTATAATACTTACAAACAAGAAGCGTAAAAGAGTTTTCAAACATAGCAGAGAAACTCAAAGAATCCACAGAGCAATGGTATAGAGTAATTGAAAAATTTATGTAAATTTCACGGGAGTCTTTTGAGATTTACAATTTTAAAGTTGAGATAAACTTTTCTAAATTCATTGCAGTTTGCAAGTTTCCTCGAACCTTTCCAGTCATAAATGCAGCTGATGGTTTCCATGTTCCTAAAAAACAAATTAAAAACATTTTTAAAAAAAATCTATTTAAGTAAATAATGTTAGAGAAAATACAGCTGTGTGAATTCAAACTGTATCAATGGTCATATTCATATAAAAAGAATATAACAATATTTTAAGTACCTGACAACATATCAAGAAGGCTCTTGAAGTCCATTGCAATTTTGCAGTCCCCCCCCCGCCAGCAATATGTTTCGGGGTGTGAGCCAAAGCGGAGATATGCGTGCGTCAGCTCTGCAGTAGCCTCATTGGCTCAGTTAGTAGAGGGCGCGCCCGGGCCCGGGCCCGGGACGCGGATGGTTGTCGGTTCGAATACTGACCGGGTCTCTCTTTTTCCTATTTAGTAGTTTGCGGCGTTGGGACCAAGGGTAAGGGCAAAAGACCAGCCGACTTGGGGAGGTGGACTGACCGCCTTTTCAGCAGCCCCTCCCCTCCTCCCAAAAAAAAGTTAGCCCCGACCAGGACTCGATCCCTGGGCCGAGGGTCTCTTGTGCATCACTCTCCAACGCGCTCGCCACTCGGCTGTCGGCTCCACTTGTCAGCGGAGAGTTCAGAACTCGGTCCTGCTTTACGAGTCTTGGTCTCCCGGAATGCACGCGTTCAGGTAGGGTCAAGTCCACCTCCTCGACGCGCTGCAGCCCGGGTCGACTTTAGGCCAGAAACAAGGAAAATAGCCAGTAAATGAGCCCCCCGGGGGCGAGGAGGTTAGG